GCGCGGACGAGAGGACTACATGCTGCAGCAGCCTCCAAAAGAGGCTACCTGCGTCTCGATGGACTACGTGATGTGACCGTGGCAAGTTATCCACAAGTTAAGCATTCGGTGACGATTGGAACTGAGTCCGACCTATGGCGTTTTGCGTCATACCTGTACGATATTGATGCCGGTGGGTTTCTCCCAATATTCTAAGCCGTTGGCATAAGATCGCAAAATTCAACCGAGACAGTAGCTGGAAACTGGGACTGATGAGAGTGGGGATTGGCCGAATTCGCCGAGTGAAAAGATTGATCAATAAACTCTCTGATCAATACACGCTGTGACCTCGATGGTTCCCTCACATTCTCCTGCCGGCTTCAAGATCCGAACCTCCACATAGTCCTCCAGCCCCCGACAGTGTCAACTGACTCCAACCATGGTTTCCAAGTGTAGATGACCTCTTCAACACTGACCGTTGCCATTTTGGCCTCATTGACCCCACTTCGGGCTTTCGAAAATAATTTACCAGTTATCTCTGTACATAAATTACAATGACTATCCAAGTATCGCTTCGAGGATCCAGGTATAGTACAATTAAATTCTTGTACAAGACTTGCTCCATCCTTCATGTAAGACTAACGGGGCCCGAAGTGGGCATGCCCATAGGCGCTGGAGGTTCAGCTTTAGAGTTCAGGCAGCTGGTTCTTGACCGTGATAACGTAACCTATTACTAACGAAGATAATCAAAGTGAGTACATTTGATAAGTTATGTAGCGATTTCACCGTTCACTTGAAACTGGGGAAACAGTAAGGCCCTATGCACGCGCTCAGTTTCGAGGTCACTGCTGATAAGGGTAGTCTGACATTCCCCTCATGATCTAAATTCGATAGACTGTCCTGACTACGTATAACGTGCGCTTTCTTCGCCATCGTATGGCCATAGTCTTCATGGCCATAATCTTCTCTCAGATATCTACAAACTTCATCATGGAGTACTACCTGCGTGTCAGGAATGGCATCAAGAAGGGGTTACCCCCAAGGTCAAATACAACCTCGGGCAAGTAGGGCTCTGTTGCGTTTGAATACTGTAAGGTCTCTCGGCTCCTTTTATGTAGTTACGATTACTTTTGGCTGCGACTGAAAATAGATCTTAGATGTTAGATATAGGTCATCAAGAAGAATTGAGAAAAGTCGGACTTTTCTTCAGGTAGGGAACACGAGCACAGAAAACCACAGAGGCTTGGGTCGTACCTAAGAGCTGTCACCTGTAACGCAGTCACAACTATTACTAGTTGAAGTCTTTCCTCGGTATAATTAATAAAAGTGAAAACAGTCCTCGCCTTGGTAAACCTCAAAATATTAAAAGCAAGTGTTTGACGTGCCGATGAGCACTTGACCCAATCCCTCTGACAAAAGATTTCCCATTGTTGTCGATGACAGCACAGTTGAGAGTTGAATTGATACGTTATAGGTTAGATAGATGTAAGCCAAACAGACCGACCAACCCACTTTCCTGCTTTCAGAGTAGCGGTAGCACTTTCCTGCTTTCAGAGTAGCAGTAGTGGGATGGATGTACAGTAGCTGGTTTTGCCCCTACTTCGGTCTTTCTGCCTTGACTGCTTGTAGCAGGCTTGCTTTTGCCCTTCGAATCATGGAATGACTAACAAGACCCCTCGTGTTGGTACTGATACTTGATCAAGGTGTTAAAGACCTTGACCGCAGCTCCTAACAACACAACGACTGCCAAACCTTGGCCTTTGGCCGTGATTATATCTGTATTGCCGGGCACTTCTTCTACCAGGATAACCATAAAGTCTAGCTCGCCACTCGCAAGGATTTGACTGATTCAAGTCGATGCGCAGAACTTTGAAGGTCTTGCCACACGATGGCCCCTGGCCTGTACCCGCCTGTGACCCAGATAAGAAAAACTTCGCAGAGATATCCGATCCACCTTTCGTGAATCTCACTAGCGAGAGTGAGGTAACCCGTTAAAACTGGTGCAGATTCCGACTGATCCGGTCACAGAGACGATATCGGTGCTGATCGACTATGAACTGTCAATTGTGGACTTCGCATGGACTTCGGCACGGAAGGGGCCGGCTCATCGACGGAAGCCACCAGAGGCAACGCGTCGTTGTATGACTGTCTGACGCACCACTTGGACCAGTTGGACGAAGTATGTTCCCTGGAGGACCAAAACAAACATAGTCTGGATCAGCGCGACTGATTTATGGAGCAACAATGTCGCTTCAAGAGGAGCAGAGCTCTTTGCGCAAATATGCCGACACGATACCAAGCTCGTCATCTCTCCGGCTTGCTGACAGTGTAAGGGAAAATTGGGACTCAAGGCTGAGCAACGTGATTGTAGAGTAAAGAAGATATATGACCTAGCATATGCTTGGACCGGACTTGATAGATGGTGCCGCGGGTTGAGTACATCAGAGGATATACATGCAACATAGTTTGCGAAGGTACAACAGTTGGCCGGACGGTTATGGTTGGCCGATGCTCATGCTTCTGTACTGCCAGATTAGCCGCTTTCAACACGTTCAGCGCTGCAGACCAACCCAGTCAAGAAGGGAATTGGCAAGACAACCTATCTTCCAAAGCCTCACCGAAGGCAGGTGGAAGAAGTGAATGAGCTGCATCCATTTAAGTTCCGTCTCTCTACCAGGGTAGAATCCAGAAAGAGAGTATTACAGCCCAACAGCATGTAAAGAGCTACCTAGCTCCGTCGATTGTGCAGATTGTAAAGATCCCAGCCACATTGAGTATGCGGCCCATGCGAGTGAAGCAGGAAGGCATTCAAGGAGCATCAACAACAACGCTTGCAGTGCTAGAATGGAATATGGACTTGTTTGCAGAAAGTTAAGGAGGTAGACCGAGGCTTCCGTTGAGGACATTTATCGAATGAGATATCTATATGCTGAACGACAAGAGATTAAGGCATTTGACCGATTCTCATAAGATAAGGATTTGATGCGCAGCCGCTTTCATTATTACAACATCAACGCGTGAGATTTTCTACAACACACAAACCACTGAGACGTCGGGAGAGCGTATCACACCCTCAGGGGCGAGTATGCGGCGTCAACCCACGCCATCTTACGGAGCACAAGGTGGGGACAGCGGGTATGCGCGCGCCCTGATCCCCAGGGCAGATGCATCGCGTCCACCTGCCAGCTAGCGGCCTCACTGCGCCATATGATGTCCCAAACAGTGGCAGTAAACGAGGATGGTGGCACCACGCGTGACAAGAATCTGCGTTGCACATAGGGATGCTGCAGGTTGCCCTGAGAAACACGGATGATCATGAGACAGAAGCCAGTACTTGCCAGTGAGGCGGGAAAAGGAGAGAGCAACAAGCTCAAACAGCGCCAAGTAGGCCGGTGGTGAGACGAGGTTGAGGAGCAAGAGCAGGACTGCCTGTCGTCAGTTTGGGAACGGTCTGTTTGAGGTCTGCACTGTGTAGCGAACATGGTTTTGAGACGTGGGCAACGGCAACAAGGACTGATGGAGAGATACCTGTACCTGGGGACGACGCTGGTCTTTCTCTCCGATGACACAGGATGTGCTCATTGTGAGGTTGTCTCTGTAGGCCAAGGATCTGCGGCCATGAACCCTTGTGCACGTGAGGCTCAAAAAAAGAGATGTCCGGCATCCTATCGCAAGGGCGCACTATGGAGCAATGCCCTTCTCGTGCGACACTAGCCGTGGCGAAGACATGATTGGGTTGACATGGACTCGAACGGCATCTGCTGTTGCTTGCTCAGCCATCCTCAGCTCACCAGCGTCTGATCATTCGGCTTCCGAGGGACGGGGCCTGCGATCAACTGGTTCTGCGGATGCCCTGGTCACCGCTATCGATACGAGGTCTGAGGCCTTACCTAGAGTGATGGAAGAGACATGCTCATGCCGCCCAACGGTGGACATGCGGGCAAGATGACGAGGCCATCAGCAGAGATCAAATGATGTCGGCACAAAAAAGGTCGCACAGCATATGCGGTCTCTGCGACGTTGGTGTCGTGACGCTGTGATGGCGCGAGGCTACAGCTGTGTGCCCGGTCCATCCACAATAAGGGAGCCACTGATGTCCGACAGCGACGAGAACCAAGCAAGCCATTGCAAGGCGAGGCCCAAGTGAAGCAGGGCGCAGTGCAGTGCAAGCCAACAGCGTGGCCGTCAGTTGACTGTGGCGGCGGGCGTTGGACAGGCTAACGTGTACGCATCTAGGCCTGGGCGAATGAGATGCAGAGGTTGGTTCATCGTTGCAATGGGATGGTCGGGTGAGGTTGCGGTGCTGGGTCGATCGAACGGCTTGGCAGGTCGATTCTCAGCCCCAGGGCCGCATGTGTGAAAGGGGAACATAGCGTTGGTGAAGGTGGCGGTCTTCAGCTGGGCAAATGTCTTAAGGAAGGGGGCCTGATGACGCTGAAACCATTTGCCTGGGTCGATGCAGACCCGGAGGCCTGGAGGATGGAAAACGGAAAGGTGGAAGGCGGGAAATCGGATGCTAGAGTATGCGCCGATTTGGCCTTTCCGGTTCGGCCTTTGTGTCCATGGTTGGTGGTAAGGGCATGACGATGTGACCTGTCGTTTCTTTCGTGGGCCGACTCGTGATGAATGGATGTTGGGAGACGGGTCTTGACGGGTAATTGGCTTGCTTCTAGAACACGAGAAAGGCATTGTAGCTGGTGACAGAGCCGCATGCGGAAGACAGTCGACGTCGAGTTACGGTTGAGGTTAGCGGTAGATAGACAGATACGATCTTCGACCAGAGCTGCCTGGTCTTGTCCGGCCTGGCCTCGCCTCGGCTGGGCAGTGGTGGAGCCGCTTGTATGTTTCCTTTGCAGCCAGAGGAAGGAGGAGCGACGAGCGTGTGAAGACAGTCATGGTCAGTGCCTGTGGTCACAGTGGGTCTCAACTGAGGTACTTGTGGAACCGGACACAGTGCGCCAGAGGTACAAGGTCAAGGTTGGCCCCCATATCGTGCTTGCAAGGCTCGAAGATGGGCACTTTCATGGCTGGGATAGCCCAGCCATGACGCCCGGACCATGACGGGCCGGAGGAGCGATGAGGGTGACGGTCGCCGTGGGGCCGTGCGATTTCCGCTTCCAAGACCTGGCACACTCGCGACATGGTACGCCATGGGGGCCCTTCCGCCCTCTTTCCGTTGTGGCCCAAGGGTACCTACTGTAGTGCCCAGCGGCCAGCGCCCGTCGTCCAGCGCCCTGTCCCAGCACCCAGCACAGGCATCAGAACCGCTGAAGCACTGGCCCCGAGTCCACTGGCAGACAACACTGGTACAGACACCTCGTCCCATCTGTCGCGATTGACAGGCTGCCATTGCGTCTGCGCACATGCAGCGTTCGCATGAGGCATCACACCCGGGGATATGGTCACTCGGAAAGCCATGATCAGAATGCTGCTGCACATCAACCTCGACATGAACAACAACCGTCAATTGTTCCGACTTGTCGTTCATCGTGCTCTTGTCCGCTTCCAGCACGTTGTTCACAGCTGCCCCGTTCATAACTCTGTTTGTTCAAGGCATACCTGTTCGACAAACACCCTGTTTACTACGACACAGCTGGAAAGCCTTTGAGCCTAGGACAGCGAGCCAGCGAGCCGTCCGCCAGCCACCTGGCCCTTGCTGAAGTCCGGATTTATCAGGTTTATTCCGGCCCTGCCAAATTTGGGCGTGGCTCGAGCTCCCTGCTGCGGGCAGAGAAATGAGACCCTCGCAATCCCTCCAGTCACCACCCAGGTCCACGGGGGGGGGGGCATCCACCCAAGCCTTTTAGGCCTTCGATGCAGTAGTAGGGTGCTCTGGCGTTGCGCCGTCGGCCAACCAGCAGAAACATCCAACACAAGCGTGTTGTGTGGTGGGGATGGTGAGAGAAACCACCACGTTCCGACTTCCAGACGTTCAGACGGGCGGGCACCAGATTCCGTGCCACTCACGCGTTCTAATCATCGTTCATCGCTGCTCACGAATGTCTCAGCCAAGCGGGCCCATTTGCCGCGTGCCTCCAACGATGCGACGAGGAACGCTCTCACCTTCTTTGCGCTTATCGATCTAGAGCGAACAAGTGTGCATGACGTCCGACTCTGTTTTCAGCCAGATCAACAGGACAGCACGTCTGGAGCGACGGCCAGATGAGACTCCCCACGCCAGGGACCCCTTTGTCTGTACGTGCCATCGGTAGACTAGACTGGACGGCTTTCGCGGCTTCCTCCTTACCAGCACCTCGACGCAGTTTCCCCTTCTCGCCTGTCTTCCCGCCCCCTGACCCGATGTCCAGGACAGGCTTCAGGGTGAGACACGGCAGACCCAGCACAAGCCGCACACGCTGTGATGTGCAGAACGGCAGAGGCATGAGAACAAGAGGAGCGGGCAGGGGACACCGAACATCTAGGGTTTGTCGATTTACCTTCCACTTCCCCCCCCCTGCCCCCCTCTCCACCCCGTTCAGAATGCTCCGTGATCCAGATGGTGGCCCGAGGGTCCCACTGTGATGAAAGGTACCCTTGCCCGCAGAGTCACACTGGAACTGGAGAGCCCTCTGTCGACAACTGGGCTGCCAAAGCGAGGAATGACTTCGTTATTCCCCACAGCGAGCGTACTTTTGAGTCAAGCAATGCGGAAAGCAGTAGATCAGCGACTCGGTCGAGTCGAAACACTTGAAATTGAGGAATATGACCGGTGAAAAAGGGCTGAGGCGAGATCCGTGGAACTCGCCACACAGACCAACGCTGGCTGGATGGTGGTTTTCGCTCCCAAGACTTTCAGCGCTGTAGTGCACCAATGCTGTCGTTGGAGTTTGCTGTGCTAGGTCGGCACGGCAAGCTGCAATGTTCTGCGATGGGTTAGGTTGAGAGTGCGGGCGCGCGCAGCGCACGCACCAACCATTCGACAAAACCCAAGCACAAGCAGAGCAGGTCAGACATACATGACTTGTGCAGTTGACGATGGTGGACATATCGCGGGACGCAGATGCATTGTCGCATAACTCTGCCGCGGCGCGAACAGGGGAACGGGGAGGGAGGGTCAAGACTCGGTATGATGGGGAAGCATGAGGAAACGACAGAACGGCCATGGGATTCATGACGTCTGGGCGTTCAGAACAGGACGTTTCGCACTGCAACAATCCGCATTCCTATTTCCACAGGTCGATCGGTCGTCTCTCCCTGTTTCGCTGCCCTTGAGCCCGCCATTCTTTTTTTTTCCTTTTTCTTTCGTTTTCGCGTCTTCACCGGTGTGGGACGTCAAGGCGAGACAGACATGTTGGAGAAGCCAACAAGCAGCTGCTGTAGGGCATAAAGTCAGACACAGGTCAGACATCGGGGAGCGCGCACCGCAGCCACGCACGCAGTCCAACGAGCATTTGGCGGCGGCGGGCGGCGGACAGTGTCGCCCACCGGGCGAGCAGGGGCGGGCTGAGCTAGCATTCAGGCCCTTGCGTGGGTGGCGCTGTGGAAGGCACAGCATTGGTTGGAGAAGTCGACGACCCTGGCGGGCACGACCCACGAACCGCTACGGTGGTGGGGAGGCGCGAAGCGAATGGGACGGTATCCTGGTAGTTGTCCTTGTCGTCCCTCCGCTGGCCGACGGCCTGGCCCCGGCTTCGTGGGAGTGTTGCCAAGGCCGTGGTGCCAGCTAGCGTCGCGCCCATCTGGCTCATGTGCGCGCTAGTGCCGATCTAGCAGCCGTGTCCCGCTTCTTACAGTGTGAGCATGACCACACCCCCGCGAGACGGGCACCGGGTACGTGAAGCGGGCTGTGGTTCTGTCGAGACGTCGAGTATTCCCGGGTCTCACTCTCCACGGGCCAAGATCTCCGCCTGGCAGTATGACCGAGCATCCTGGCTTCTTGCTTTTCCTTCGACCCTCTCATCGGGGCGCTTCCTCTTCCCGACAGACGAAGAGAGCCCTGACCCTGTCACCCGCCTGGCTGATCCACACCTGGCTCAGGGACCTAGGTGCCTAAGAAGTGGAAGGCGACAGAGCTTGTCCCGGCGCATCGCCCCCTGTAACTCTGCCTAGGTGCCCGCAAGGCCACCACGGGCCGCACAACTCATCGTATCATCGAGGGCTCGCTGCCTGCCTTTCGAGGCGCTGCAGCCAAAGTGACAAACGGTCCCAAGAGACGGGAGAGGAACAGCTGTTGCCCCCCCTCTCTTCCAACAACGATTCAGCGGTCTCGAGGTGGCGTAGAGGTAGAACAAAGGGCCCTCACCGCAAGCATCTCGGCATCGCCCATAACAAGGGCGAGGCAGCTCCAGATTCCCAGCCCGAGGGCCTGGGACTGCCGCAGTCTCCCAGCCCTCAAAGTCAGGTTCGCTGGGTCGCTGGTCCACCTGTCGCCTTTCCCCGTGTCCCGGGCTGGACCAGATTGACCTGTGATGGATTGTGTGTGTGCCAGTCGGCACGAGCAATCGGTGACAAACAGAGCACACCTTCTGGGGCTTCAGCGCCGCCTCCCCCTGCCATCTGGTACTGAGTCCTAGTAGGACCTAGGTACGCAGATCCAGATCAGGCCTACATCCAGCACTTAGCACTCAGCACCCACGAACAAGGCTCCATTTTCTTTTTGGTCTCTTGTGGTGCTCTTTCTCCCTTTCTCACTCACTTCCTCTCACTCTCGCCTCTCACGTCCTCACGCCGCGGTCCACACCCCCAGCACCCCGGCTTCCCCTCCCCCCCTTCCAGGTTTAGCATCCCCACTTGTCTCTGCCTGGCCCTGGCCCTGGCCCTGGCCCTTGTCCTGGGTACCGCACCGTGCTGTACTGTATTATCTGGGTCCCGGTCCTGGGGTGTCGACTGCCCAGTCCTAGCAGTCCTTTTCCTTCCCGCCTTTCCTGCTCCTCATCGTCTTGGTTCGTTCCCGTTCCACACAGATCCAGCCTCAACACCAACAAACCACTCCCCTCCGTTCGTGCGTTCGTCCTCTCCCTCCATCGACCCAACCGCGCTGCTTGGGCCGTTAATCGCATCGAGGGATCGAAGAACGGACGACGACAGCGACGACCGACCTCGACAAACTCCACCTGCCCGGAAAGCCATTCGATCTCGCCATATTCTTATTCACACACCGGTTGCCCTCCATCCGCCAAAAGGGTTTCGCAATCAACTAAATTAATTCGCGGGAACGTTGGGCCTCCGAGTAGAACCTGTGCAGGTTAGTTTTGGATGGTGGCTTCGAGCCAGAATTTCCCTTACTTGGGAGAGCGGCGCCTCCTGCCTGACGTGGCGTGAGAACCGTCCCCACGGGCTCTCTCCCAACTCCCCAATCCAGACCGTTGCCTCGACCCAGGTCGTCGGCATCGCTCTCGTTTCGTTTCTCGCTTCGTCTGACACGGTCGCCTCGTAGGTTTGCCAACGACCAACTCCCGCCACCCAGCGAACGACCCGAAACTTCTCACCACATTCTGACGCCAGACACCATGTCCGCCACCACCATGGTTGCCGCCGACGACAGCCCCTCCGATGCCACTCGTTCAGTTCACACCCGCAACACGAAGGGCGGTCGACGACTTCATTATGAATTGACCTGCCTCCAACAGCCCGAGCGCGCGAGAGCCTGCGGCTCTGGACAGAAGTGTAAGTTGACATGCGGTGCGCTATTCGAATGACTTGACCGCTGACACGGGGAATCCCAGCCGCCGCCGACCGTCGACCTGTCGACCCGCCACCCGTCGTTCAGCTTCGCGTTCTCGAGGGCCCTACCCTCGAGGACAGCAAGGACATCACTCTCGGCTACAACGCCAACTTCTTCGTCTACGTGGATTTGCAGCATGCTCGCCCCATCGCCAACGGTCGCGTCCAGACGCCTGCTGCCACGACGCCTCCTGTTCTGACTGGTGCCCCCGTCTCTGGCATGGCGTACCTCGACCGCCCTGCCGAGGCCGGCTATTTCTTGTTCCCTGACTTGTCGGTCCGCCACGAAGGCCGCTACGTCCTCGGATTCAGCCTCTACGAAGAGCTCAAGGACGAGATGGATCAGGACGCCGACCCCGTGGACGACGACCCTACCCCCGGATTCTACCTGGCATGAAGGTCCAGTCTGCGCCCTTTGTCGTCTTCAGCGCGAAGAAGTTCCCTGGCCTCAC